TATCAAAGCAATTGGACTTGCGGTTTTTAACAAGTCGAAAATATCAGTTTTTACCAAAAATGACAAAAATATTCACCAAAATTAAAGAATTAAAGATATCATTACAAAATTAACAAATCTGAAAGAGGTCCACATGTAGTACCTATAGATGTAATATCAAAGCAATTGCACTTGCGGTTTTTAACAAGAAGTCGAAAATATCAGTTTTTACCAAAAATGACAAAAATATTCACCAAAATTAGAGAATTAAAGATATCAACATGAAATGAACAAACCTAAGAGAGGTCTACCCAAGGTACATATACACCAAGTATCAAAGCATTTAGGCTTGTAGTTTTCAAGAAGAAGTCGAAAAAGTAAAACATTGACACGGACGACGACGACGACGACGACGGACAATCACTCATATGATAAGCTCCGCTCGACAAAGTCGACAGCGGAGCTAATAAAGCAAAAAGAGCCAATTTTAGCATATATTGATGAAATTGGAATACAACATACATAATGGCAGATTTAAAATTCTGAATACGTTCTCATTATTATTAAACCATGCTGACAACATTAAGCGTCTTTTCAACTAATTTGCTGCCCTGGGAAAACTTAAAATTTAAATGTACTCACCTGGATCTGAAGTACAGTAGTTATTGCGGAGTAGAATATCCACAACCTGTAACCCAATCTCTGTATCATGTAAACCAATCTTAAGTAATACAGCTTCGTATATTAGATGCGTAGACATTGCAGTGCGGCGATAACAACAATGCTGAACATGTGGTCAACAAATTAGGGATTGGCGCTGCTGAACTCGCTATCACTTGTTCTACATTGTTCACCTGAGTCAGACAGTGGTGTAGTATTCTCAGCCATCCAATACTGTTGAAGAATGACAAATTGTTATTATTTATGTACTACAATCAACATCTTATACAACAACTTGTGTCTATTATAAAATTAGGCAGTTGGTCATACACGAAATGTCCTAAAATGGTGATATGTGGTGCAATTTGTGATATGGTATTCACTCTACTTGGCAGAATTTCCAATAACGAGTGCATTCGCTCTGCAGGAGATTTCTGAACCCTATCACACATCATTTGTGAGACCCAAGCTTGAATAATGCTTCTGTCACATGGAACAGTAATCGTAAGGTTCACGCTGACAAAACTGAACCTTTCAAAAGCACTTTAAAATCCATCTAACTTATACGTTCTACATCTGGGTTGATGAGAATAAATAAATAAATAAATAAATAAATAAATAAATAAATTAATTTTATTCATTCTTAATTATTCATAATAGTAAAATTTGTTTTGAGAATACAACAAGGTATATGCATACTGATATTTTGATGTATACTATGCGCCATACTCATTCAACTTAATCTACCAAATGAAATCACTCATGTCTCTCACATCCATCTCTGTACACACAATAGTTGTAATATACCTTGACTTGGAAACATTATCTTCAGTTGGTACAAACGGATTAATGATTGTAGAGCTAGCTGTACTACCAAATGCCGTTAATCCCAACAACATTATCTGAGATAATCCAATAGTAGATGAATCCCTAGGCTTGTGTAATTTCAAACAAACCGACGTGGTCACTTCGGGCTTATGGAGTTGCAGTTTAATGAAAGTCAGACCGCTGGTTGATATTGGTGAACTTATAGGTATCATTGCAGAACCATCACGACTCATTTCTATGGATACCGATGCTGGACATGCTGCAAGACGACAATCACAATAATTCTTATTTATATACATTAGTTGTGTGCACGACAGTGTTACAATTGGACTATGCAAATTCTACATACCTAGTAATTTCTACAGGCCTAGTACATGATATTAGTTTTTAAATATTGGCAAGACAATTATCTTGAGAAAGTAAATTTTGTAACAAAAAGTGAAAGTGAAGAAAGTGCTATTAATACTTGTTTCGAGAGTAATTACTTACTTGCAAGAGAAGTTAGGTGTGGTTGTATCTGTATCTCTTTCAATAATATTGCACTAGGTAATGTAATAGTTAGATCACACCAGGCTTCATCAGGGTAGAAATGATACGACCATGCCGCTGATCTAGCCCTACGATGTGGGGGTTGAGACTGTAATAATACGTCAGCTGGTTGCGCTGTAGGACTTGTTGATGTGATAGAACCTGTTGAAAAAAATCACTACGAATTTTGAAGTGCCTTGAACAAGATTTCATATTTGACATCATTATTGAATCTTACATTCATGGTGGGACTTCGATGGTAATAAATCTTATATATATATTTCTGATAACAAAATACACCATGATCATTTCCACTTGATTGTAATGAACATGAATATAAAACTATTTGTTGAAAAAATTACAAACTAATTTATAGTTTACAGATTTATAAGGTTTCAATAAAATAGTAGCTGTGTGGTACTACATTTAATTATTTGATGTGTCAGAATACATACTTTTGTAATAGTGTTATAAGCCACCTAATTGTATTGATATGAAAAAAGTAGTGAGGATGGTGAAGCTAAAAACAAGACAATCATAAAAATTCTATTTTCTTTTATGTTTACATTAACCACCTACCATACGGGGCAAAGTTATGAAGTCCTTCTGATGGATCCGCATCCATGCTAGTAGACTTATTTGATTTAGCACTGTTAGTTGTAGATATTTTACTGCCATTTCCCAAATACTGCATTATAGTTGAGACTAGACTGGGCGAAATGTTGATGACAGCACGGTTACTATAAACCATATTATTACAGATAATTTGAACTCCATCTGGGAAGAATAAAAATCATAAAATATTAATGACAAAAACATTGAAAAGTATACAATAACAAGTTATTGCATTACATATACATAGTGCCTGTTAGTTATTAAGTATAAGAAATACAGTTTTGTTTATCATAATATAGTTTGAACATGAATGGTCAGACACAGATTCAGCACTGCATTTGTTAAAAAAAAAAATGGCTGCCAGTTGGCCATTTCAAATATGATCAGAAAAAATAACATTCTTCAAAGTCCAATAATGTCTAATGTGTGTACCAAGTTTGACCAAGATCTGGTTCTGAAATGGCAGAAATGCTTGATTTTGATGAATTTTTCACAAATGGTCGCCATTGAAAAAGGGTCATGAAACGAATGGACATGCACATGTCTCCCAACATATGTGATGTATTTGTGAAGTTTGAATGTGATTGGACCAGACATTTTCGGAATATATACAGTTGGAGACGCACACAAGAGTGCACTGAGCTCAAAACACAAGTCACAGGGACTGAGGCCGAACAGAGACTGAACTAAAAAGTGAGAACTGTGTCATGAACAACGACTGTACATTATTTATGGGACAGTCATAAAATTTACGTTTGAAAGCAAAAATTGAGATGAAACGCTAATGTTCTTTTGATGATTGGCAACACAGTGAAGTGTAAGAACTTCTCGTTTCAGAATATAAAATTTCTGAGCTTGACCTTTTATGGAGCACCGTCAAAGTTCAGAACTTGAATATGTAGTTTACATAATATACATGTACATTTATTTATGCAAAGCAGATTGTATGCTGGAATGTACTCCGTGATTCTATCGTAAATAAGCTATGCATGGTACAGTCCCCGTTAGTTATCGAATTTAAGATGTATAGTTTTGTTTATAATACAAGACTTATCCATATTGAGAGATATTGCTTCAGAACAGCATTAATTAAACAAAATCGGCCATTTTGAACATAATGTATAATGAATATATAAAAATTGAACATAATCAATCAAAGCATGTCAGAAATATGGCTCTAGAAGCACATTCATTAAAACAAAATGACCGCCAGTCAGCCATTTTGAATCTGATCTGACAAATAAAATGAATCAGGAACCTATAATGTCAGAAACCCACTGCGTCCGAACGAAGACTAATAAAAACATTTTTTAACGGATCAAAATTAATGTGGAAGATAAGAGCCACATTTACTCCATGATTCCATCTGATGGAACAACAGAAATTGACAGCATGGAAGTGCTCAATGGTGACTTGATTGCTTGTAGAGAATATTTCAAATATTTGTCTATGCATGTGATGGTATGATAGCCGTACAATAAAATCATTATTGATTCTATATTGTATTGGGTTATACTTACTCATATCATTGAATACCTTCAGTGACTTCTCACAGTCTAACACTCTCAGTACAAACCACAGAAGTGGTTCGGATAAGAGACAGGGAGAGGCAGTACGAGGCAAATGTCCAACTAGATAATCCAAGATTGGTCTCATGATCAGCTCCAAGGTCGTTGCCTTCTTGTTTAATGTACACAGGACTTGAAAGACAGCGTCACCGACTGATAGTGGGTCGATAGATGTGAAACTCTCTGACATTGTAACTTGGCTGAGTCCGCTACTTCCTATAATCATGGCCATGGTGTTGCTATTACAGTGACTTAAAGAACCCAGGAAATGCATCATGGTTTGCGGCTTTCCAAGCACAACGTCAGCAATACACTTGACTTTGGGTTCATCTTCTTCAGTGTCAGACGGATAATGACTGCAATGTGGTACAGATTTCTTCTTAGGAGCACTGTCGGATTGCTGCTCTTGCTGCTCAGAGGTCTTCTCTTCATCACTTATGCTGGCTGTAGGGCTGAGTAGAGGAGTGTGCGGTTGTGACTGCTGCTGCTGCTGAGTTGCAACCAGTTTGGACGCATCCGATAAATTCATCCCAACTTCTATAGGTTGTGGTGTACTATGAGCGCTTGGGGCCGAGGCGATATCATCATCACTAAAGCTTCCACTGAAGCGATTACTTGCAGATGTCGCTGCTGCACTGCCAGTGGCATTGTCCTGCTTTAATTGAACCTCAACTAGGTTATTTACTAACCTAAGTAGGGAACACATGAGCAAGTCGCGATTGGCTTCCCCTACGGCTGTTTTAGAGTCACTTGGTCTAAGCATGCTTGCAAACAGTCCTCCAAAACATGATCTTGCACTAACACTGCCTTCAGATGAACTTCTACATATAAGCTTATCTGTTGTTTTGATGTGGTTATGTACCAATGTAGCGATAGCTTCCACCAGACTCACTGCTGTACTGATGTCAGTAGGTTCATACTTCTGTTCCAGGATATAATCCATAAGCTTTACTTGTGCATCTAATGGGCCCTGACCAATTTGAAATGCGCCACTACAATATAAATTAACACATCAATTATATCTCCAAAGTCTGTCACATTTAAACAATACAGCAAATGATGGAAATAGAATCCAGTCACTAACTGTCAAACATGTAACGATTTTGTGAAACATATCTTCTGGTGTTTTGGGCCGTTATCCTCCACTAAATCACTAAAGTGTATGATAATGAGGTTATCAAAAAGTATGCACTTAGGCAGTAGGGGATAGCATCAACTTCTACTAGATGTCGGTCCATGCAATCACTTTACTGCCATCGTGCATACTTTGTGGTACTCAATCATGTGCGGTACTCTTACGATAATCACTTATACATTTGTTACAAGGGAAGAAAAAAGATTACCATACCCATTTGTAGTTAACTTGTATACCAATCTGAGCATCAGTTCTTTGAGTGAATCAATTGTGGGTGGAATTGATGTTTTACATCGCAGCTGAAGCCTCGTTAGAAACTCAAACATGGCCTGAGTGGCTGATGGCCCAATCTGTAAAACAACAATAGCGCATATCACAATTGTTTGCCAGAGAACTTTCCGAGGTATTGTTGTTTTGTGCATATGCAGAGTTCGCCTGTACTTCAGTTTATAAAGCTTTCTGGAAATAGGTGAATTATAAAATGCACAAGTATACATGTATTCACAGTTTACAACTAATGACACTTAAGGTAGAAGCCTACTCATAAATTAAAATATCCAGAATTTATTCATTTTACAATAAACTGTACTCCAAGGCAATATAAGGATATTGACCTAAACAAGCAGCCTATCGGCTGAGATAGCTCCGCTGTTAGAAATGCACATTTCAATTAAAGAACTGAAGACATCATCAGAAAATGAACAATATGTATAGTATCAAAGCAATCGGACTTACAGTTTTTAACAAGAAGTCGAAAATATCACTTTTTACCAAAAATGACAAAAATATTCACCAAAATTAGAGAATTGAAGATATCAACATGAAATGAACAAACCTAAGAGAGGTCTACCCAAGGTACATATACACCAAGTATCAAAGCATTCAGGCTTGTAGTTTTCAAGAAGAAGTCGAAAAAGTAAAACATTGACACGGACGACGAACAACGACGACGGACAATCACTCATATGATAAGCTCCGCTCGACAAAGTCGACAGCGGAGCTAAAAAAGTTGGGGGTCACCAGCCTTATTTTCGAGAAATTGATGGTTGTATTTTAGTGGAAAGTCGCCATTTTGACACTATTATAACACTTTTACCACAGGTTCATATGGCAGAGATATTATACAATATCTCAAAATCTAGCCCGGTGACATAGGCTGAAAAAATCATATATTGTTAATGATGGAGTACTTTTTGTTGAATTATTTAAAAAATCTGGGTTTTAAAAAGTGTCAAAAAGTGCAATTTTTCTTTAACACTGTGTTCTACGGAATTGTTCTAAAAATAGCAATTTTCAAGAAGTATTAGGACAGAATTCTCAAAAAGCTTAGCTGTAACACACAAAATAATCCTATTTCAGTGTACCATGGGACATTAGCTTCATAATTGGACATAATAAACTAATGAACATTGTCATGCGATCTATGACCAATTTTGTCAAAAATTATAAAATAAGATATAAAACAGAATACAGATATTAATATATTAAATTTTGTATTTGAGTTGACCGTGCAATAGGACACTATGAAGACCAGACCTACCATGACTGAGAAGACCATACTGGAAAAAGTCGCTTGCACTTGGGTCATTCTTGTCAAATTTATTTCATAACAAAACTAAATAAGACATACCTGTAAATGTGACTGTCCCATTACTGTGGTTCCTTGGTACATTGCTGTGGATAGAAACTTGATAAGAGCAGGTAGGAGATTGCAATCAGCTACGATAGCATTGGCCATCCAAACTGTTTGATTTTCACTTTCACTCTTCATATTAGCTAGCAATGCCAGGGTATGGAACGCCAAACACCACGTATGAACAGGTACATTGTATTGCCAAGCAAGACAAGCTAGCAAACTTGACATTGAACTTTGATTCAATGGTATACTTGGCACCACAGTAGCATCAAATGTACAATTATCATTCCTTTCTGATTCAGGGTTATTCTCATTGAGAGTCAGCCACAATTGCAGGATGGAATCCAGGTTGATTCGTTGAAACTGTATTTGGGAGAACAAGTGATCAAAGCAGGAACTGAGCATCTGAGAAGATGAGGTAGCCACCATGGCTTGTATAGACGAGAATAAGGCATCGTCAGTTTGTGGGCTATCAAAACATTGATTCTGACCACCTACAAATGGTAACGGTTGCAGAGGGGCACTTAAAGCTTGTATAATGGCATCGGCTTCCACCACAGACACAATTTTCAGAAACCATTCAGCTCTAAGCTGTAGACCAACTTCCAGTCGTGCATCCACAGCCATAGAAACATTCATGGTGGACGACATAGTGGCTGCTTTGGTGACATCACTTTCAAAGTGGTTGGAAATATGGTATTTAGATGCAGGGCCGCCCACTGCATTGTTCATAGAAGCTGGATGGCCTAACACTCCCATACTTGCAATATACGCAGCCTTCTGTTGCAGTTTGCTTTTATTCTTCTCGTCCATAGCACCCCAATCATGAATTTGATTGCATAGAAAATTCATCTCTTCCATGAACTCCTTTTTACCAATCTCAACAAACTCTGCCATCTGCGGATCCGATGGATCAACTGGACCTTCCTCAGTAGTGCTACTTTCTTTAGTTTGATTCTCATCAAAACTTCCCATGCTTACAATTCCTAATGACAGAAGCAGGCAAATAATTAGTTTTCAAACCACACATGACTTCCCTGACTGACTGTAACAAGTTACATATTGAATTTGCGTTACCTGATGTCCCTGCCACACTGATTGACTCAGATTCATTGATAACTGATATAGAAGCTGATTGTTGTAATGTCTCGTCAGTCTCAGTGGAAGTGCTGCTGATATATCTTCATCAGTTACATTGGCAGCAGCTAGTGCTGAGATGGGGTAACTTCTCTCACCTGTAAATACACAAAGATGAGAATTAGTCCTACCAAACCTAACCTATGTTAACATTTCTGACAGTGAATAAAATCCATTTGAAAGTGAGACACACAAAAGGGCAGATCAGAAACACATATCATGAAAATGAAACATTGAACATCATGGAGCCGAATATTTTGCGATGTTTTGAGTTGCCACATGCAGAATATACACAAACTCTATTAGTTGTTGTTTCACCATTATTTCTATATTCAACATTCAAAACATATTACTTTGACACTTACGATTACCGTATTTGCTCCATTAGTATGGTAAAAAAAAAAATATACAACCAATGCAAATTTTGGTTTATATGACCTTATATTGAAGATATGCTTCTAATAGAGAATACATTCTAATACAGTACTCCCAGATTCTCTGACAACGATTTACACAAACTCAATGGTGAGATGTGTCTTTTTAAGTCAAAATGATTGTAAAATTAAATAAATTATCAATTAAAGGCACACTGACTCAAAGTCAAATCAATTCAAAGACACTATGCAAATGACTAAAAAGTGACGATATCATAACATCAACTCACCTTCTTGAACATCTAGGAGTAGTGTAGACAGAGCATGATATGCCCATGGTCCACCCCATGCAACATTGCCACGATTGAAATTAGTGCCCACACACAGCATAAGAAGTTGTTCCAACTGCTGTTCACTCATGATTTCAGGTAGAGTGATGGCTGGTCTGGATGCATTGGAAATGCGGGCTAACACCTAACCAAATCATAAGTACATGGAATATGAAATCAATGCCAAGATGAAATAAAACATTAATTTTCGTCTGTGTGACTTAGATCTTAACATGCTTACTCAAGACTCCAAACATACCTTGCATGTTACGAGAAACAAGTCCACATGACATGTGAAGTCCATTGATAAGAGCAATGCCATTAATCCCTGCACTACTGGTATACTTTTATCTCTTGGCAACTGGAAGACTGGTGGTTCAACATCCATTCCTCTGTCTCCATGGTTACTGTTTTCTTCTTTATCACTTCTGGATGTATCTTTACTTGTCATCCGACGCAGCATCAACAGATCCTTGAAATGCTAAAGTATAAGTGAAACATATCAATGTGTAGAGAAACGTGCATTAAGACTGACGAGATTGTTAGTGATTTGGTAACAACTTGCAGCATAGGTAAACAAATTATCAAAAATCAATTTACCTTTGATGCGCGTTGTTTTAGTTCTCTCATTAGTTTCTGTTGTACTACAGTTTCTTGCCCTTTTCCTTCCTCCTTCAACTGAGATGAAATCATTTTGTGTTTTGCCTGGCAAAAGAACAAGAGATATAAACATCAGTTCCACTACTGAGAACTGTACTTGCTAAATATTTAAACTAAACTGTGCGATTATGAGTATTGGTCCAGTTACGTCTTAACAAAATCTACAGTCAATGTATTATTCAGTAGTTCCTATCACTTTTACAGCAAGTCACAGAAGTATTGGGCATCATTTTTGCAAACTCGATGTCCCCTGCTGCAATACAGACTCGCCCAGATTGGAAGTGGCCACAAGTCGGCGCCAGCAAAATTCAAAGCCAACTGTTCAGTCAAAACACAAGCAGTTAACCAATTCACTAGTGAGTTTGCAAATTGGCTGCCTCAATACTTCTAAGCCTTGCTGTAACCAATGGACAACGAACACTGTTTTACACCACTTATTACAAAAATGGATGGGTCATTCATCAGGATGCTGGCACAAGTTTTGCTAGACTAGTCTCTAATTCCACAAAAGTTTTCAAGTTGATGAAATTGTTGCTATGAAGTATCAAGAAGCAGAAACTAAGGTGCGGCCCAGAAAAATAATTTTACAATAATCCAATAATCTTACAAGTCCTGAGCATCACAGCAGATTTTTGTGTTTTTTGTCAGAATTTTAGAAAATAAATAAAGAAAAATTAGAAACATTTCTTGTTTTTTTTTCACCATGCTTATTACCTGGAGATCTATTAGTTGTTGTTTATGATGCATAAGTTGACGCTTCAATCGTCGCCTATTTAATCTACTATGATGAACAGATTTGATATTAACACCTGTAGATTGACTATTGGATGTCATGAAATCACTTGTAATGAAATCCCATCTATTTCCATTCACGCTGTTAGAAGTGGATCCTAGCAAGAAAACAGAAGCAGTTCATTTAACAAAATCATCATCACCAGATTTCCATTAATGCACACCAAACCATGAGAATTTTATGATATTTTTAGAGAATTTATTCTTGAACTGGATGCAAGAAATATTTCTCTATTTTAGAATTTTAAATATTGCAAAAATGGAAACACAGACAATTTCAGGCAAAACTAATGTCAAAAAAACATTTACTGTATTACTAATAGGGGCTGTGAATAATTTCATTATTATTATTACTAAAACCTTTAATATGTAATAATGAACATAATTCCTGGCATTTCTAAGCTGAAATGGACTATAAATGTTACCTTGATAAAATGAAATATACTAAATGAACAAAAAAGGATCATCAAATCAAATACGAGTAAACTTCATTGAGCAAAACAACTGAATTTAAATAAATCACTTTTTTTACCTTTTTCTTTATCCTTGTCCTTGTTATTTGCTTTACATTCAATATCATCATCATCATCTGAATTTGAATTGTTGGCAACTGTACTGTCCAATGTACGTGACAGAAATAACAGAACCCAGCTAATCAATGACAAATCCAGAGTCCCTGCATACAAATAAAACAATGCAAGTCAATGACTCCAATGTAAGGTACGTGAATAAATAAAATAACTACTTTAAACCATTTTAATTTCATGAGAGATGAATTTTACAAATGTAGCAATATAAAATAAATCTCTGGGATCCTAACACATGCAATGTCAGTGATTTTCATGAAATTTTGTCTACATAATGCCATAATTTCTGAAATTGTGAATATTTCTAACATCGAAAATCTTCTTCAATTGCATCAATGCATGGATGAAACCATGTACATCCATAAAAGGGAATATTAAGTTGTAATGAATTTAACCTTTCAACCACCAGACTTTCTCTCCCAAATTTGTCTGTACTTTTTTTTTTTAATATTCTTCAAAATATCTGGAAATGAACCCTAATTTTGGAGCCAACACACAAAATTTGAGTCAATTTTCAGTTTTTACTCAAAAAATCTGGCAATTTTTGTCCAAATTTTCTAAGGGAAAGTGCATACTACTACTTTGTGAATTTGTGGTGAAAAACGGAAACTGGTGGTGAAAGGGTTAAAGGTCATAAATATACTTTGGCTTATTAATTTAACAAAGTAACACGTCACTTTCTGACAGGCAATTCTCTGAATTTCAAAGAAGCTTGTTATGTATTCTGAGCCATTTACACACTCATCTGACATTAAATAAGAATGGCAATATTCCTCACCTCCACCTGTAACGATGTAGTACTGACCATGACTGGATTGCAATGGAGCGAGTAACTTTGCAAGTAAATTCAATAGATGCTCTAACACATTACTAGAATTATTACATGCTATTGATTTCTGACCCAGAACAGCAAGTAACACAAACAACCTACAACAAAATACATATAAGTAAGTTACAATTGAATTCAAATATAGTACAGACGCATTTCATGACAATTCTGTCTACCTACCGTACACAATATTATCTGCAAAACATGCCACTACCCTTTTTAAATTTCAAATACCATATAGCATAGAACTTAGAAGAATGGTGGATGTATATCATTTCTATCGCAAGAGCAAATCAAAATTTTCCCTTGATTGCTGCTATTTAATTGAATCTTGTTCAGTGCAAGAAACACAGAATATACAGAAAAGAGAAGATAAGAAAACCCAGTAATGTCATATTGTACATATCACTAGATTTCCTTGCTTTACCCTCTTGTTAACACATTGTCTGCATAATCAGCTGGCAATGTGTTAAACATCATACCTTGATGCATGTGACTGTGTATTGATATTTTATACTCACCTATCCTGAGGAAACACAAAGTTCTGTTCAGAGTTGAAGAACTCCTGCAGCGAATTGGCCAGAAACTCCCCCCACCAAGGCTGCACACCACACATCTTAACTAAGAGAGCACCACATCGTATCCTAGTGCGTGGCGTACCACTGACACAGAGATGTTTAAAGAGAGCTTCACACACACTCATATCAAATATTCTATACAAAGTAGTAGGGGTAGACTTCACAGAGCTATTGCATATACTAAGCAAGGTATCCAAGAGATACTCGGTGATTACTCGCAGCTGGTCAGTAGAGGTTTGTTTCAGCTGTGCTGAAGCATTGTGCGTTTGCATCGTTCTTGTAGGCATAGAACCACAGGCACTTTTCAAACGATTGATCGCTCTGTGTGCTAAGTTTAACTGTAACTGAAGCTGCATACAATCATGATACGCCTGGTGTATCTTGGTGTCTTCCTCGCTCTTTTCGCTGTTCTTCCTCACAAAGAACTGAGCGCTAGTTCCTACTGACTGTGGCAGATCAATTCCGCTTAGTAGTGTTTCTAGCCGATTACATGCCAGACTGTATCTACATTGTAAATCTTCCTGTAGCGAAACTAACGACACCAAGTGATGCTCTAGATGTAGATTTTCATTATCTATGCTGGAATTACTATCTACTGCCGACTGTACAATGCTGTCGTTTTCCCAAGGTAGGATGTAGGTATGACCATAAAAGGTACCGATGGGAATCTTGGATCTTACTGTATTACCTCCGTATTTACCAATCACAGTTATCTACAAAATAGGAAAGGGTTTATACGTATCAGAATCCAAGCAAAAAAAGTTGGCAACTTGGTAAGAGTCAAACCTTTGTCTCAAACTAAGTTTACTTGTCATGGTCATTCAAAGCCAAGCCTAAGAGTTCAGCAAAGACCAGACATTTAGACATGGTTTATAACTTACCTTAATATATCTACACACTGCAGGAGGTAAGAGATCACTAAGAACCAGAGATCTACTACCAATATCCATAGCAACTACAAGTCGACGCCCATCAATTTCTTCACCTTTAACCCAGACATCAATGGATAATGATGACATGTCATTACAGGCTGGTATCAGCACATCAGTCAGTAGGATGGGACAGCCAAAATCTAACACTGCAAATCTTCTAGCTCCTACAGAAAAAAAAAAAGAATGTTATTTTCATTGTCAGTCAGTTGGTTGGTATATGGATCGTAAAAATAACATGCTTTCCATCTATAGTGTATGACTTTGAAACACCAGTCGTGAGATTAGACAGCTTTTACACTCACCTGAATGCATTCTTTCTACAACGAGGACATGGGGCTGAGGTGGTTGTAATAGACACTGATTCGCTGGTGGTAAAGGGGTATTAGAAGTAACATTTCTATTCACACCTCCCTGTAATATAAAAATGATGAAGGAAACATGTTTATTTCAAAACAATCACTATGCTGATTAGTTTTCATATACTGTAGATCGCTCTAATTTCATGAGGGATGAATTTTAGCTAAGTTCACGAGTCAGTACAAATTTTGCAACAGGATATGTTGGGTCCTACGACATGAAATGCCTGTGACTTTTGCAAAATATTGCCTTCACTAATGCCATAAAATTACAACAAGCAGCCTGTCGGCTGAGATAGCTTCGCTTTTAGCAATGCACATTGCAATTAAAGAACAGAAGATATCATTAGAAAATGAACAATATGTATAGTATCAAAGCAACAGGACTTACTGTTTTCAACAAGAAGTCGAAAATATCACTTTTTACCAAAAATTTAAAAAAATATTCACCAAAATTAGAGAATTAAAGATATCATTACAAAATGAACAAATCTGAACAAGGTCCACATGTAGTACCTATATATGTAATATCAAAGCAATTGGACTTGCGGTTTTGAACAAGAAGTCAAAAATATCACTTTTTACCAAAAATGACAAAAATATTTACCAAAATTAGAGAATTGAAGATATCATTACAAAATGAACAAATCTGAGAGAGGTCCACATGTAGTACCTATATATGTAATATCAAAGCAATTGGACTTGCGGTTTTTAACAAGAAGTTGAAAATATCACTTTTTACCAAAAATGACAAAAATATTCACCAAAATTAGAGAATT